ATATATATATATATATATATATATATATATATATTTTATACAGAAGGACCAACTAGCTAACGTGACTGCAGCTTTCCCATGAGGAGTAGCAACGATGCTAACTAAGCGAGGCTCACACAGCCACACATCAACTCGCTGCAGCATTAGTACAGCCTGAACACAAGCACACATGCATTCTTAACACTGATGGTCTCCGAGAAACTTATATGGTTTTCATGCTTTGACAATATAGCCCTGTATTAAAATAACAATACATTAAAAGGATGGCTTGTAGTGGCGTGAAAGCCTTGTTTAGCATATTGACTACACGCGCATTAGGGTGTACATATGTATGTCTATGTAAATACATATATATAAATAAACGCTGTGATAATGCACCTACCTGTCTGCATAGTTGATGTGTGGACAAAAAACCGTATTAATTCAGGCAGGTCTGCGCTGTAAGGTTCACATCTGGGGAACACCTCTGGCTCGCACCGCCCTGCTCGCGCCTACCGGTCTGCACTGCGCAACGGCGGCGGCATGCGCGCTCCCCGCGGCTGCCACGGCGACCGGAGTGTTTTGGTCAATGACGGGGTCCACGTGGAAGAACAGAGCTCTGCTGTCGTGTCAGCGAGCTTGCGCAGGCAGCGTCTCTCTGTGCTCCTCTCTCCGGGTTTTCCGCCACGCCACGTCCTCACCGACCGATCCGATTACGGTAGTGCGGGAGGAGCTCGCATAGTCTTTCATATCGAGTCTCAGCGAGCCTCATACCAGCATAGTTTTGGGAGACATGGTTCCTCCTCAATATGTGTAGGCCATTTCTTTTTTTGACCAGTTTTCTTTTTTTGAACTACTCTTGCATTCTTTATGGAGGAGTCATTAAATATGAAGATTCAAGTGACTGAAATATTGTGTTAACATAACACACATTTACTCATTAATCACATGCATTATAAATGTGCATACGTTTACATTCACATAGTGACATGGAATGAAAAACAACAATACATGGTGTGAATTATAAGCTACACAAACATTTGGGTTCTATGTCTGAGTCAAAACTTTCCAATAATCGAATGGATCACAGTTTATTTTGAATACTTTTCCAACCTTCATTCAAACCTCGTGTATCGGCTGCTCTCTTAATGTACAGCAGAAACTGCTTGAGGATAAACAGGAGGAACAGCTAAGGAGGAAAAAGCAGTTGGAAAACATTGCTGCCATCACGGCCAAAATGAAGAAGAGCCTCAAAGGGATCTGGTCTTCAACGTAACTTGTCCAGCGACTGATGGCATGGAGTCATATTTTGAGAAAGGAAAACAGGAGAAGAAAACACATGATATAAGAAAAGATCATTTGTAACACAGCCACAAGTCATACATACACCTGGATGCCTGATGTTTGACTGAGTGTAAACTGAGCTGTGATGAGAGACTGAATTTGAGTTACAGCTCAGTCTGCAGTTGTTGTTGTTATTGGTGTTTGTGACGTGCTTTGAGGAGATTTGTCCAGGTTTAAGCATGACTGGTGGTTGTGGTACAAAGGGCATTAAGGACATTAAGAGTTTTATTTTCCTGTTGCTCTCTCACTTGCCTCCTCAAGTGAAATGGGAGAAATGTCTGAATTTGCAATCATTAAATTTGCACTTGCATGACCTGTTTGCTGAAAAGGGCCCTCCAGTTTCAAAAAGCCAGTTTGTGTGTTGTGTTCAAACCAGTTCCTTTTAACACGCAATACAATGACTCATGTGCTTCTGCCTTTTCAAAAAACTGAGTAACATTTCCTTAGAATTTTCATCCTTTTTCATTAACTCCTTAATTTCATGTGTGAGCCCTTTACTTCTTTTTGACATTTGACTGACGCTCCTTCTAAGAGCTGTACTATTGTAAGCGCATGCCTTGACCCCGGCCTCTCCATTTTATTTGTCTCACTCGTTTGGACACGTTTCAACATGCACAGTTCATCAACTCAACTTTGTCTGCAATGCGTTTTTATTTTCCAACTCAACCACAGTGAGTCCTGCAGCAACAGTGTTACAAGCAGTCAAACCATCCCAAAACCTCCGCATACCAAGCGCATATAAGCCCAAATCAACAGCGGCAGCACTTCCAGTGTTCAAACAGACAGACAGACAGACAGACAGCGTGCATACCGCTTCTGTAGGCTGTGATGCGCTGCTGTCAACAAGGAAGTTCACATCACGTGGTTCAGGCTGCGGTGAGCCGAAGAGGGGAAACAGTCCAAACAATGTCCATTCAATCCAAAACCCAGAGATCTAAGGTGATCCTCAACCATCAACACAGAGTCACGTGCATCACGTGCAGTCACTTGTCCAGATGCATTTTATGCTGTTTATTAAATTAAAATAATCTAAAGCAATAACTGTACTGGGATAAGTAGGTCCTGACGGTCAACAGAAAATATCGGAGGCTATCTTACCGTCTTCGTCCTCCCGTCGTCCAAGTGAACAGGTAAATAAACCACGCCCCTTTTACATATTACCGGAAAGGATAGGACCCTATTATTTCTCAAAAGTGTTTTATTATGATTATTATATGACAGTACTGTTTTAGGAGTCATGGTTTCAGTTCCAGTGTCTAAAGTCAAACACCATCAGATGCAGCTCTTCACTCTGTCCGTCAGACCACCCAGTACTCATGCACATCTCACACCTGTTATCTGATTTGTCTTTTGTGAAACGGTTTCATTCATCTGTTCTTTTAAGTTGGAATGACAAATTAACTCTAATTTGAGGAAGTTTGTCTATATCAAGTTATTTAAGAAGACAACATTTCCAGCAGTAGGCTACTGCCACTTTAATAAAGAACAACACACGGTTTGTAAAATAGAGCTGCAAAATTCAAGGCACGCAATAATCTGCCTTTACGATCAACAGTTACCCTGGAAATAAGAACATGGACATGAATGTGATCAGACCAGGAGTAAAAGAAATGATGATCATCTGAAATGAAGAGATATGCCAAAGACTCTTTAAGCATTCACAACCAGTAAAAGTAATATTGTTAAAATGAATGTTTGCTAAAATGATATCATAGCACTATAAAATAAGATAAAATAAAATAATCCTTTATTAGTCCCGCAGTGGGGAAATTCACAGGATCACAGCAGCAAAGTGGAGAGTGCACACAAGATACAGAGTAAAAAAACAAGAGCAACAAGTAATATAAATAAGTAAATAAGTAATAAACAGTAAGAATATCAACTAAGTCAAAAAGTAACTAAGTAACTAAGTATATGTGAAGAGGGATGTGGCCACAACAATTGAAAAAACACAAAGACGCAATTTGCAAATAAATGTGGCAAATTGTGTAACCCATTGTGTAAAATATAGTATTTTTATCTTTCATTTACAGACACACAAAGAGAATAGCCAGAGATCTGCACTGCACCTATTGGACCACAAGATGTCCCAGTAACTCTTTAATTGAATTGCTTCTAGGCATTGTATAATAAGTTATATCATACTCACATCTCCAAAACACCAATGAAGACAAATATGTTATAAAAAGATCATAACTGTATCCGAAAAAATTGTTACACATGCCATGTTGATAATGGAGTATTATCTGGCAAAACTCAAATCTTGGTTGAGAGGCTGCTCAGTAGCCAGTAGTAATGTACTTATATATCTATTTAATGGACATACTTACAATTAATGTGTCACATTGAAATGAAAACACTAATTATGATAATGCTGCTCTTCCACTGGCTCCCCGGGGAGTGTATTGTGTTTTCTGTTCATAGCACTGATGAATGTTCATTTGACAGATTTAAGATTTGTTCATTGGCCCCAAAGGGGACATTTTTCTTCCCTTGTCAAACACAAAAAACAGCAGAAAATCCAGGTTCCTATCAAAGTTTATATATAGATTTAAGGTTTCCTTCACTTTTGTGATTTAGTTTTCTTAATCCGGTTAATGGGTTTTGTCAAACACATGTTCATTTTGTGTTCTCATCTTCTTCAAAGTGAATTGCATCTTAAATGTACATATTTGTATCACCATGGAGTTTCATCTACGTATTGATAAATATGCCAGGATTATGACTGGGGTCTAAGACAGAAAAAGTGTGATATGCAAGTAGAATTTGACAGAGTTCAGCAGAGAGCGTGTCATTGACAGACATTGTTGTACCTCTACACAGTCACTGGGAGGCAGATTGACCACAATTGCAGTTCCACTAGTTTTTGTCTGATTTTATGTATTTCAGTCTAAAATGCATTCCAACGTGCTTCTGAGGCTTAAAGTTTCATCTTTATGCACATGTCAGTTTGTCACGGTTACCACATGCAAGTCATTGCTCCTAATAGAATAGTTGTATTATTTCTGACATGAGTAACTTCTAAATGGAATACATCTATAAAGAAATATTGTATAACAAGGTCTAACTTGGAAACATTTTCAAACGGTCACATCATGCCATACAACTAAAAAAGCATTTGGAGAACAATTTGAAACAGAACTTTCTAATTTTTTAATGAATTACAGATGAAAATACTAAGTTATCACTTTTGTTGAAGCAAAAGTCTAAGTCTGGTTTGTTGGTATAACATGCTTTACTTTAAATATTGATAATTAAAAATTCTAAATCTTCACAACTTGTAATTTTTTTTCTCCTTGAAGAATCTAAGTTGGTATTTCAGTGTGGTCTCACTCTCCTAAATGCACTCAATTTCTTCTGACAAATGTGAACAATATTTGAAACGCTGGAAATACTTTGAGAGTTTCAGATGGCACTTTTGACCACAGTTATCGAAAACCACAATACAAACCCAAAACACTGGCGACTTAACCGACTGAGGTTTACAGAAAAGTGACATGGAAGCAGGTTCGTTAGTACAGATGTGCTTTAACCATCAAGTTTTAAAAAGATGGATTTCTCCTTAAGAATCAACAAATATCCCAAAATGATGAGATCAGGAATGACCCTGTTTGAACTGGACTTCTGTCACGCTCAACTCGTATAGATTAGACAGTGTGGAGTGTGTGTGTGTGTCTTTATCTCTGTTTCCATCTCTCTCTTTTTTTACTCCATACATTTTCTCTACCCTCCCTCTGCTTTTCACCCATTAAATCCAATCCTGAAGAACTACAGTGAGGCTGCAATCTTTAGTACTGCATAGTGTGTGTGTGTGCATGTGTGTGTGTGTGTGTGTGTGTGTGTGTGCAACAGCAATGCATTTCACTTAGAAAACACCTTTGATTCTCACGCACAGCAGGCAAACAGACAGAAAGACAGAGACATGATGTAGAAAATAGGACCGCCAGACAGCGACTTACAGATCACACACAAAATGAGTTGTTTTTTACTTTAGACTGTTTGTGTTTGGTTGAGTAGAGACACCGGAGTAATGAGCATAATTAGACTGACGGTGCTGTGGCGTGATTTGGCTTTCAGTCACAGATACAGGTGTAAGGTCCATTGTCACTTTTAGTTGGCCGTGAAGCATTTTGTCATTTTGACCCAAAGTTTAAAGCTTTTTTTACACCTGTATGGAGGCATCTGGATTTATTATGTTCCTCCTCTTATTTATTTAGTTTTGTTTCCTTTAAAGGCCGTGCACACCAGAGACTGTACATAAGAAGTGGACGTACTCGTCGTTGCGTCATCCATTGGTTTGCGGACTGCGGTTTTGAAGCCTCGAGCTCTGCATTTTGGCCGTCGCCATTTTATTTTCCCAAGCAGAAGTGACACGAGAAGCAGGAGCTCAGAACAGCTGAACGCTGAATAAGACTTTGTTAGGCGACCAGAAAGGTTAGAATTGTCACCAGTCTTTATGTTGCACCACACACATAGAGTGTGTACAAATCTGTTGTTTCATTCCTCTTCTGTTGTCCGAACCAGATGAAGCTGTGGCTTTTTTTAACTGCTCTATTTTTACCACACCTTTTTCTCTTGTGGGATCTACTTTGATTATGGTCCCTGTTGGTGCAGATGGCAACACTGCATTTTCTAACCCTCCTCTTCCCTGCTGTTCTCATATCGCTTCACTCTCCTCTCTCCTCGTCCTGGACCCTCTCCTTTCACTCAACTGCCCACCTCTGTACTCATCTCTTTCAGACTCCTGCTTCCAGATTAATCCATTCATGAAGATTTATTTTTTTCTCAGTGAGGCATGTTTTATTTTTTTCTAAACCAAAATTACAAACTCCACTGGATAAAGACTGAGAGACAGAAGAGACATAGAGGGACTAGTGAGGGTCAAACAGAAGCGAGTTATGACCATAACTGACAAGCACATTTGTAAACAGGAGGTTGAAGAGAGACTGAGAAAAACAAAGTAAGAAACAAGATGACGAGAAATTTTGTATAATTATTGATAAGGTAGAAAATATAAAGGCATGTCAACAGTTTTTGTCACAGGTACATTACTGTCTCCTTACAATAGTTTAAGGTTCCCTCCCAAAAACAGCATCATGTGTG